GCAGTTTTGTACTATGGACTTTAAATCCTCTACTTCCAAATTATAAAGATTATTAAATAGAGTTTATATCATGCTAGAATCTAATGCTGATCAGCTATTTCATTCCCAAATACTAAGAATATACCCACTTGCCCAATGCAGTGAGCAGCCACCCGGTGCAGTCAGGGTGACCTTGCTGAGTAATGGCAATGTGGGTGATGCCTTTGTTGAGTGAACATTCCAGTATGGGCTGCAGGAGACCATGTGGAGCAATCTCAATGGTGATGGCATTATGTGGAATGTGTTGTGATGCCTCCTTGAAAAGCACTGCATTAAGTAGGTTATTGATGTGATACTCAGCTGATGCATGCATTGCCAGTAGAGTGTTCCATTGATATTGTGGCACTGAAGAGCTCACCCAACGGGAAGACCGGGGCTTTGGGCGTGGAATCAACTGCACAAGCACAAATGCAAATTACACAGACTGACACATTAATTAACCTTTAAAGTACCAGGCTTTAAAATCCCTGTATGCTGGCCCGATTGAAATCCCACTGTTATGTTACACTGTGTATGTTTTTCTGATAAAACAATGTATCTTTCTCAATAACCCACATACAATATTAACATAAATTTCACACTGTTAAAGAGTTTACTTTACCACTTGGAACTGTTCCTCAAGCTGTCACTCTGTAAGATTTCTTCTAATTGGAAAGAATATCCCATGTATTTATACTTTCTCTTATAATCAGATTCATATTATGGAAAATATTGTAATGTTATTAATGTATTTATCCCAAAATGTGAACACATTGTGCAAATGTTTCTTTTGCCTCAGATAAATAACAGTAGATTTCTTTGTTCTTGTTATACACTCACACAAAGATAGGTTCATTCAAATTTTCTCCCCCATAAAGCAGTCTACCATTTGAGGGTCAGATTTGCACATAGAAATGAAGAGTACAAAACAAGGGGCCTCACAACAGTATAAACTCATTGCTTGGTGTTTCATGTACTTTTTTTCCAGACAGGACAACGGAGATGATTTTAGCCTTGGTTGGTTGTTGTATCCCCTTTCCATTTACTGCCATGCCTTCCTCTGCAAGGAAAAGTTCACCAAAAATTGTTTCTTGAATTAAAACTAACCAGCAAGTTCATGTTGTCATTATTATCATTTGTAATGGACAGCCCAGATACATTTTCAACAAACTCAGATATCCACAATGTAAGTACAAGACACAGATATAATCTTCATGTACCAAACACTAACCTCAGTAAATATCAAAAAGGAGCTTACTACACTGGAATTAAGCTATTAAATAATCCCCCCTCCCCCCAAGAAAAGTCTGAATCATGATATAAAGAGGCTTTAAGTCAGGACTAAAAGAGCATCTCCTATCTTACTCCTTCGACTACACAGAAGAATTTCTCTCTCTCTCTCTCTCAAGTCACCATAATTATGTAAAATTTGAGGTTTTCACAGCGGTGAGTATGAAGATTGCTGTCTGCCTTTCACACATGACAAACTCTCTCATTCCAAGATGTGTTGGCCACCACACTATGAAGCAGTCTCTTATTAACGCAATGTGATTGCGGCCGACATTTTTACTATTTTACTACACTCCGTAGAACACCC